CTCTGCCTCTCATTCTGACTGTCCGGGCAAGAGAGCAATTGACGATTAGGAGATTTGGGGAGAATGTGCCCCGATTCTAGTTCGACAGTGCCTCTCTTATTTCACACTAAATCGTGTTGGTATTTTAGGGCAAACTCTATGTCGTCCCGGCGAGCTCAATAGCAAACCGAAAAGTTTGAGCAGACAGACAGAAGGACGGCTGGCTGCGACTGAATCGACCCACCGACCTCGATTGGAGTGCACTGGAATGGTGGTGGTGGCCATGGGGCAGGCCACCAGGCCAGGCATCACTGCCACCGTGGCAGAACAGTTCATGTACAGCAGAGCGAAGAGCGGCAGCCAAGTTCATGGCCATCGCCGCCGCCGATCGATATTGTCTGGTCTGCTTGAGCAGCAGCAGCCTCCAACGCGACATAGCATCCCTCTCTCTCTTCATTCTCCGCGACCTACAGAGTCTGGAAGCTTCGCCTGCACTTGCCCTTGTTCCCTACTATTGGCCGTACACTACACGTGTAGTGTATGGCAGATGCTGCCTTGCCCGCCTCTCTCTGCCTGCCTGACACGTCGCATTGTACAAAGCTGAATGTGTGATGTGCACTGTACAGCAGCAACCAGGCTGCAGTCACCGTGTTCCAACAGGGCAAGGTCGCTCTAATGCTCTGGTCTCATCCACGGTGTGCACACATTCGACTATACAGTTGATGATCGAGAGAACGTTAGGGCTCAAGTAGCGGTATGGCAGTAGTGTCCAGGCGAGGCAAAAGGGAATGCTGGCCAGCAGCTGAAGCAGCCACGACGACATTGCTGCTGCAGCTGATGGTGGTGTCTGGTTGTCTGGCAGGGCCGTGGCTGCTCCTGCTGCTGCAGTCATTATTGCACGTTCTTTGGCCATGGTCGTCTCGGCCGGGCTCGGGTTCAACGTTCGGGCGCTCTGCTCGGCGCCTTGCGCCAAGCGCCCAGTCTCTCTCTCTTTCTCTTTGTCTGGCAGTCTTTCCTATGACGCATGGGCTGCCATGGGATGACAAAGTTGGCGAAATGGTGGGCAGAGGAGGGAAAGGAGGGGAAGGTGCTCGTCGCCAACCAGCAACCGTCTCAGCAACGCAGACAGAGGGAGAGAAGGAGACATTGCTTGCACACGGCCATTGTACGATCTGTCTGTGTCTGTTTTATTTGTATTCCTTCGGTGTCGGTCTGTCTGTCTGTGTATTATTGTCGGTTGGCGGTGGTTCGTTGGTTCGTTGGTTCGTTGGTTGTCTCAGTGTCGCTGTCCGCGGACAATGCCAACTTTCTCTCTCTGGTAGTGGTGCTGGTGCTAATGGTGCTGCTGATGGTGCTCAGCGTGAAAGAGTGAGAGGCACTGGGGGCACCGGCACTGCTCTTTTTATTCGACGGTTGCTGCTGCCGATGCTGGTGCAGTGCACTACTGCTAAAGTCAATCTCACTCAAGCCTAATTGGCCGCCTAAAATTAGACCAGATTCAGCGGTGGTGGTGATGGTGGTGGCGGTGTGTGCATCAGCCGTGGCCACCACTGAGGGGAAAGAAGAGACTATTCTTTCTCCGTCTGCCCTCTTCATATATTCTTAGCGTCTCGCTTCCATTCAGTAGACTTGGCAGACGCGGACCCGAGTGTCAATGACAGTAGACGAGCACTGGCAGTGACAAGACACACTTATTCCCCTCGAGTCAATGTACCTGTTGACCGGAGAGAATTTAGTACCCTGACTGGCTAGGCCCCTGCTCTGGCCTGCCATCACCACTTGACCGATTTCCCCACTGATTGCTTGTACCCCTCTTTCTGCTGTCACTTCAGCTCAGCTGCTGCCCTGTCAGTGAAGGTCGTGTGCAGTGCTACTGCTTCGACTGCTGCTGCTGGACTTTAACTAGTCTCCACTCCACTCTTCGCGCGTTCTCTCTCTCCTTCTTGGTCTCTCTCTCTCTTCTTTTGCCAGCGGTGTTTAAAAGGCTGAAGACAGAAGTAGATAGTAGGTAGTTTGCACACACACACAGAGAGAGAGACAGTGAGATTGCTGTTGTCAGGCAGTGGCGAATCGACCGTCTTGGAGAGGGGAGGGAGGCAGCGCAGACAGACATCACACACTGAGAGAAGAAGGAGAGTACTTGGCTATGGCTGCGGTGGAGTAGCTCTACCACTGGCAAGGAGGAAAGCCAAGTGAACGACCAGCAGCGGCACTCAGCTGCTACAGCAGTCTTGCTGGCTGCTGCCTGACTGGTTGGCAGAGAATTCGCGCCAAATACTGCATCGATGGTGGGAGAGAGAGAGAGAGTGCTGGCAGAGAGTGCATCGATGCCGGCACATTGAAATATGTGCGCGCGATTGCTGCCGCCGCTGTTTCTGCGACCACTGCCAAAGATCCTTCAAAAGGTTTGCAGCATCAGCCATCAACATCGGCGACGACCACTACCCCAAAGACTGATGCACTGGCCACAGTGACAGTGAGGCTGCTGATGCATCACAGCCGGTGCCGCCGATTGCACAGGTTATGCAACGCAGACACAGCACAGCTGACAGCAGCAGCAGTGGTCGAGCCGACCAGTCCGCCAGCCAGCCACTTGTCAAACTCCATCCTCGATCCTCTCTCTCTCGCACTCTCATCCCACTGCCCGCCAAAACTGCCTCATCTTGCCGGCATCTCCTCCGGCCGAGCGAGCATCATGATGAGGATGACTGGTCAACCGCAGTGGACACTGTCAATTCAGTCAGTCAGTCAGTTGTCGCCACTGAAGAATGTGTGTACAGTACACACATAGACCCGAGTTGCAGGCGGATTGCACTGCCAGTGGAAAAACATGCATTCATTCATTCACTGGGCGCCACGATATGGCGTCTCAAACAAACAGATCGGAGAGAGTGAGAGTGAGAGAGAGAGAGTTGGCAGTTGCTGGCAAACATAGACACCAAAGCACACAGAAGAGAGTAGAAGTTTAGCGCCAGAGCCTGGTTGGCGGTGGTAGGCTGGCTGGGAGCATGCGTCCGATGATGGCGCCGGCGACTGAGCAGCAGCAGCAGTGCTCTTTGAAGTGTGCACTACTAGCGCTTACTTTCACTTCCAACGCAACCATTGCCGTCGCCGCAACGTTGCGTCTCAGAGGATTCTCTTTCTCTCTCTCTCTCATCAGCTGCTGCAGCATCGACTACTTGTACCACTGGTACCGGCGGCGCGCCACTGACAGCGGCAGTAGCAAGCTTGCTTGAGTCGCCATCATCATCAGCTGAAGCTCAGTCAAGACAGAAGCAGCAACCGCGGCACCAGTAGTGCACCACCGATTGCTGAAGCAGCTGATAAACCTGAGATGATTTAACAACCAGCCAACAAACACACTGATTGACTGACTGTCCATCCATCTATCTATCCATCTCTCACTCAACAACTGCTGATAAAACTTACTCTATCTACTGATAACCTACTGAGACTGTGTGTTGTGGACCCAAGGAGGAGGCCAATTGCATCGCAGCATTCTAGCAGCAGCAGCAGCAACTTCAACTCCACCAACAGCAACTTCTGACAACTGTTTCTCTCTTCACCTCCTGACACCGCCGACGGTCATGGCCCTAAGAGAGGTAAGTGTGATTGTCCTGTGCTTTGCCCACTGCACTGCAACTCCCTTTGTCCCTTTAAACACAATGCACATTAGCAGCGTAGAGTTGTTTAAAAGCGCACTCGATGATCCGCCCGCCGTCGCCTCCACCACCACTACCACGATCCTCTACCGGCGAAATTGACCCATATGCCAAGAACAGCTGTGTGTGCAGCAGTGGAGTGTACCGGCACTCTGCACTTTGCGTGCACTGCACCAGCTGACAGCAGCAGCAGGCAGAGCCGCTGTCACTCCCACTGTCAAACAGACTCGGGTCCCGGAGTTTTCCTTTTCAAAGGAGAGCCAGTTTCGAGCTCCCTGGCGGCTCCCTCTCGTTCTCTGCCGCTCGCTCCCTCTTCTCTCTGCCTCTGTCTGTGTGTCAGTGAAACGTCGAGTCACCGGTCACAAAATTCCCACTCTCAGCTGCTGCTGCTGCTTCGGTGGCGCGCAGCACAAGGTGCGGCGGCGTCTTCTTTCAGCAGTGGCAGCAGCAGCGGCAGCAGCGCGAGACTGCACCTCCTCCTTTCTTGCCCTCTCTCTGTGTCTCGCTCCCCCTCGCTCAGCGTTGGGCTGTGCCGCCACCCCGCCGCTGTGGTCTCTGGCGATCTCTTGGCGCTCCCGCCACTCTGCGGCGTGCCGCTGCTCTCCGGTGGCGATGGGCTGCCGCTTCGCTCATTCGCTGGCTCGCATTCGCTCGTTCCTTTCGGCTTCGCTTCTGCTGGCTGCGCTGCAGCAGCAGCAGAAACAGCAGCCTGTTCTCTCCCTGTTCATTCCAGTTGTCTATTTATTTGCGCTGCAGTCCGATCGAGAGGGACATTCTCGCAGTCGCCGCCGCCAGTGCCAGCCGCAGCCACCCCGCTACCGCCGCCATTCTCCTCGTCGGACCTGCAGCCATCGCAGCACTAGCACTTGCAGCAGCAATCTCTCTCTCTTTCAGCAGCCAGACTGCCATCGACTTGTCTCTTTCGTTAGTTTGCAACACCAGATGAGAGAAGGAACTTTGCTTCTCCTCACCCTCTACCACTCTCCAACACCGGCTCTCTCTCATATGTTTTTGCCGGCTTTAAAAACTTTGCCTCTGCAAGCGCGCGTAACTAGAGAGTGAACCCGAGTTCTTCTCTCACTGTTCTTGCACACTTTGCTCAGATCTCCTCTTCTCTTCACTTTATGCNAGCGCGCGTAACTAGAGAGTGAACCCGAGTTCTTCTCTCACTGTTCTTGCACACTTTGCTCAGATCTCCTCTTCTCTTCACTTTATGCTTCTTTCTTTTGCACTTGTGATTCTCACTCTACCTGTTTGACTTTTTTTGTTCGAGTGCATCTTACCCATATATTCTTCTTCTGTGTTTCGCCACAGCTGACTTCCAATCACTTCCCAGTCGCCACCACTTCGCCAATGAAAATGCCCGTCAAAGTAGATTCGAGCCGCTGTTGCTCGCCTACGCCGTTCGATGCCGATTTGCTCACCGACTTTGAGCAGGAGTTAGTCAACGACTGTCTTTCCAATCTGGACGTCGACATGTGGGGCAACCTAACACCGCCCGCCTCGCCGCAGATCAAGCTCGACTTTATGGATCTAAATCTAGACAACCTTCTCGATGACAGCGACGAGATGATGATGGACTTTGACCAGAAGCTCACTTTGATCAACCACGACTGCATGTGGTCAGGCCAGTGCTCAGAGGGCCACTGCAACTCTTCTGCGAAGCCGTCCACCAGCTGCACCAGCAATTCCTCATTGAACATGAGCAGCTCCTGGACTCGCCCCGACACTCCTGGCACTTTCAATCTTTCCACTTCGCCCATCACCAACAATCTGCTCGGCGACCTCACATACTCTGACTTTGCTGACCTCTCCGAGCTGACCAGTCTCCTCGAGAGCGACCTGTCTTCTTCACCCCAGTCACATAGCCTGCTCCAGCCGCAGCAACAGCAGCAATCGTTTCAGCAACAGTCTGGCAATGTCTTTGCCGGCATGGCAAATGACCACTCGTACGAGAGCTCCAGTCCAGTGTCGACCATTAAGGAGGAAGTCGAGGATGAGATTATCGTCAAAAAAGAGTCGAGTAAGTCTCTCTTTCATTCTCTCTCTCATTAGGCCAATGTCGGATGAGCGCATCAATTAGCCATAATGACTACTGCTGCTATTTTTAATGTTTTGCACAATTGCTAATTGCACTTTTTTCCTTCATCTTGTGTAGGCCTGCTAAGTAAGAATCCCATTAAGATTCTCAATGCCGGTAAAATTAACAAGATGAAGTGCAAAAAGATCTCCGGCGGAGCACACAAGAACAGCACTTCACTCCTCACCCCAACAAACATCATCTATCGACCTTCTTCATCCTCGCTCATCAGCAAGGGAGAGACGAGCATTGTCCAAAAGCCCCAGATTTTTCAGGTGGCAAACTTTAAAAATCTGCCAGAGAACACAATCCACGGCAAGGTGTCATACAAGGTGACTTCAATCAAGAAGACCAAGGGGCAGCCAAATAAAACATACCTTGCTGACGTAAAGACCAACGGAACCACCACAAAGCTCTCCAACAACCGACTTGTTCATGTTAAGAAAGTGCACCAATTTGCTAGCAACATCAGCACGCTGATCAGTCCCAACACCTCGGACTCTGAGGAGAGCTCCATCTCCGGCTCCGGATCTTCGAGTGGCGACGACAACCGAAAGAACTCTCCGCCCTTCCGCCGTCGCGAGCACAATGACTCTGAGCGAAAGCGTCGCGATCACCTGCGCAACTCCTTCAACAACCTGAAGGACCAGATTCCGAAGCTCAAGTCGGCGGAGAAGAGGCCGCCGCGCATCATGATCCTCCACGAGGCGACCAACTACGTGACTTCGCTAATCAACACCAACTACAATCTGGAGAAGACGCTCGAGGCGGAGAAGGAGAAGAAGAAGCGGCTGATGAATCTGCTGAAGAGCATGCAGCAGGACTCGTAAGTTCGAACTCTCTACACCCCCCACCATTATACAGGTCCTCTCGTGCTCGCTCGCTTCTCTCACTCTCATTTGCTGTGCGTTTCACACCACTCTTCATCACCGTACTTCTCCCTACCGTTCTCTGCGCTTTCCGCATCCGCCACCCCAACTACGAATCTACTATTCTATTCTCTTATTACGCACCACCTGCTCACCTACACCAACATATAAACACAGACCGACACACACGCCACACACCTACACACTTTTCTCATTATTCCATATTCCATTGCTATTGCATTACCTTACCCTGTTTAGTTGATCACTACTCTCTCCTTGCTCTTTTTTGGTTGCATCTTTTTTGCGCAGTAAGCAGCATCAGCAGCGGCACATCAACACTACCACCACCACCACCACCACCCAACCCATGCAGAGTATTCTCTCCTCTACTGATCTTGACTTATATTCTTCCCCCACAATATTATCCTCTACCTGCATACCTGATACACCTACATATTCTATTCTACTTTATTCTTCTTTATTATTCACCCCTAGGATTTTCAAATTTCATTTTGCTGTACCGTACTCCCTCCCCTTTCTACTTTCGAACTGGCGCTTTGTGAACTACTGTGTGTACTTCTCACCTTTCTTTTTCTCTTTTTCATGAGCATTATTTTGCCACAACCAACAACCAATTACGAACTCTATCATCTTTTCTCCCCTCTTTGCCTTTTGCCGTACTCTAATAGCTACATAGTTTTTATCTTTTAATTGTTAAACAAAATATATCTATTAACCGATCAACCACATATATTCTTCTGATCTACATATTATAATTACCGTATCTATTATTATCAATACCAATATGGAAATTACTGAATATAATAATAATCCCAACAATAAAGTTTATCTTTGTTTTTCAAAACTGCTCTTGTGTGCCTTTCTCTTTCTTTCTCGCTGTCTGCCTCGGTCTGTCAGACTGTCTGGAGTGGGTTTGTTTGTTTACTTGACGGATCAAAGTATGCAATGGGGGCAATATAACCACCACCACCATCACCATGTCTGCCGCCTCATTTGTGATGGCAATTTGCCCGACTGTGCTCGGTGCAGCAGCAACAACACCACTTGCCTTCTTTGCCAAAACGGCAGACCAGAAAAGGATTCTCACCCAGCGGAAGCAATTGACCTCAATTCCTTAAGCCCGAGCTGCAGAAGAAGAAGAAGAGCAAAAGCAAAACATTTGTTTGGCTTCCTATTTTGACACAGATTACTCCATCTTTGGGTGGGCGTCTCTGGTGCTCATTGTTTTGCTTGCTGTCGGCGTCGATTCTACTTGGTTCACAACAGCGACGACACGGTCCCTTGACAATAGTGGGTAAGTGCAGCAGCCGTCTTCTCTTCTTTGTATTTCTTTTTAGATGCGTCCCTCTGCTTTGCTACTCGTTCTCCGGCTCGTTCTTACCTCTTCCAACACTCACATGATGATTTGCGATAAGATCACAACACAACACAGCATCCCTCGCTTAAACCTAATTCACCAAAATAATGGGTAAGTGCAAAGGCTTTTCTCCTTCTTTCTGCCTTCTTTGCGTCTACATCTCCACCACTTTGACGCTGTCATGTGTTGTTTTCGCCGTCTTCCCACTGCAACGAGTCGAGCAGCGATGTCGGCGATGTTTGCAAATGTTTTCTGTTTTGTGTTTGTTTTCTCTCTCTCTCACTCTCACTCTAATGTTATGCAATTTCTCTCTTTGACTTTCTCACTTTAGCCAATGGCTACGTTGACAGATTTGATTTTTGAGGCGAAAGCAACGGCGCGAAAGTGTATGTGCACCTTTGCGCTGCATCCAGGCAGACTGTTGGCAATGGTTGCAAGCAATGGACAACTCCAACAACGGCAGCAGCCGAAGCAGGTCTTGCCTGACTGCCTGAGTTTGTACTTGTTGCTGCAGCAGCAGCCACTGCAAAGGTAACCTAACCGCGCTGCTGCATTACGACAGATTGCTGCCACTGCTGCACCGACCACGAGCTACTCACTTTGGCGATTGTGTCCCACGGTCCCCCACGGCTGCTGCCCCGACCGTTGCGTGTCACCGAGTGTCGGGTGGAACCGAGTGGTCGATCCGAGACGAGACGAGCGATCGAGGTAGGGGACGGGCCTTGGGCCTTAACGTTCGGGCCGTCTCCTTTCGGTGACACCTGCCCGATTTTTTCGTGGTCGGGTGGAGGCTGCCTGCTCCGGTTGGAGGTTAACCGTCCCTGGGCTGCTGCTGCTGCTGCTGTTGCTACGGCTACGGCTGCCAGTTTGGATGCACTTTGACCTCTTGCCTTCTTCAGTTGACTCTAGCAATCTCTTGCACCGGCTACCTGCTCACACTACCCTCTCAAGTGTTGGCACAGTGTGCTACCGCTGCAGCTCTATGGTAGTGCATTGTTCCCAGCCGGGACTTAGCGAGGGATAGGGATATATGGAGAGAGCATTGACTGGCCTCATAGGGCACAGACTCCATCGTAGCACTGAGCACTGTGATTAGGGGAGAGATTGATCAGCCACCACCAGCACTGTCACTATCATCGAAGCCCATCACTAACCTGTGCACGCACTAGCACTGCTGCTGTGTCTCTAGCTCGCTCGCTAATCCCCAAGGCAACACAAAGCTCAGCAGCAGCAGTCGCAGTGATTCCACTACTACAACTTTTTCCTCTTCTCGTAATCTCTCACTCCCCAAGTTTCACTTTCCTTCCTCAACCGAGACCTTCTTCTCTTTCTTCTCACTTATTTGAAGAGCTAACACCGGGCGTCAGCCCGGTGCAAAGTTACTGTTACCCGCGA